CACACACACACACACACACACGACCCAGGCGTCCGGGACACACACACACACATACACTCAGGACCAAGGCGCCCGGGATACACGGACACACACGCGGAACCCAGGCATCAGGGCCCCGCCGCCATAAACCTGTGTAGCCCCCGCCTGCGTGTGTGTGATACACACGTGTGTAAAGGAGGAGATTGCGAGTAGGTGTGACATCAACTTGGGGAGACAGAGCGGGCAACACGCCTGTTGATGTACGTGTCATTGAGGAGTGTGTGTGTGTGTGTGTGTGCGCGTGTGTGTAGGGGTGTGTGAGAATTATAAATGTGTAACTGCGGGAAGTTTGTGTATATGTGTGTGTATATGTGTGAAAGATGTATGTATACAATTGAAATGGGGGGGCAGGGAAACGGCGCGTGCGAGGCAGAGCAGGGCCACACGCGTGGCAGAAACGTGTGTGAAATCGAAGTGTGTGTGTGTATGTGTAACTGTGTGGGTGCGTGCGCGTGTGTGTGCGCGCGTTGTGTACCTGTGTGTGTGCGCGTGCGTCTATGTGTGTACCTGTGTGTGTGCAGCCGTGCCGCCCCACCTCCCCCTGCGCCGTAGCGAAATTAAAATTGATTTTTATTTTTTAAAAGAAAAGAGGAAAATAACCCCCCGCCCGCACCCCTCCCCCGAAACCCCTCGTGGGTGGGGAGGGGGGCGGCTGTGCTGTCCAGCCCTGTGCCGCCGGGCCCTGCCCCGCCATACCTCTGCCCCCGCCCCCCGCGTCCGTCTGTCCGTCCGGCCCTGCCGGCCCGGCGGCTGTGTGCTGCACAGCCACGCGCGGGACACACGCACGCACGCGCACACACACACAGCCCAGGAGTCCTGGACACGCACATAGACATATCACAACACAAATATCCAACGTATGCAGAACCCAGGTGTCCGGCATACACGCACATGCACGCACACGTAGCCCCTTCTTTCTTTCTCCGTCCGTCTGTCCGTCCCTCCGTCCCCCTGTCCAGCCGCCCCCCGGGGTGTGTGTGTGTGTGCGCGCGTGCTGGGTGCCTGGGTTATGTGAACGGGCGTATACCTGTGTGTGTGTGTGTGTGTGTGTGCGGCGGCTGGCTGGTTCTGTGTGTGTGTGTGTGCGCGCGCGCGCGTATGTGTGTCCGTGCCTCTTGAGTTCTGTGCACGGGCACGCGCGCATATGTGTGTGTATGTACGCGCGCGTGTCCCGGACGCCTGGGCTCTCCGTGTGTTGGATACTTGGGTTGTGTATATGCGTGCATCCAGGACGCCTGGGGGGCGAGGAGGTGTATGAGTGTGTGTATGTGTGCATGTCCCGGGCTCCTGGGTTGGATACTTGGGTTGTATACATTAGGTGTATCCAGAACGCCTGGGTTCTGCGCGTGTGTGTGTCCCGGACACCTGGGTTCTCCGTGCGTGGGACACTCGGGTTGTGTATATGCGTGTTTCCAGGAGCCTCAATACCCGCCTGGGTTCTGCGCCCCCCCCGGGTTCCGGAGC